TTGCAGGTTCCGCCCGCTGCAGGTCCTTTGTCTGTGCCCACCCTACCTGCTCAGACTCCTGGTCTCCTTGCTGGAGCAGGCGCCCTCAGGAAGAGGGCAGTGTCTGGCTCTGTAGCTCAGCCACTGGCCAGACAGGAGGCTCACAGACGGCATCTGAAATGAGCACAGTGATAAGGAATCTCAGATCTGAAGCTGGGAAGTGAGTGAGGTCACTTCCTAACCAAGCTTCAGTATCTGCGTGCAGAAGGTCACGGCGGCAGCTCTGAGGGTGGCTGAGAGGGTCTCCTGTCCAACTGCAGGCAGGAACTGACCAGAGAGGGAACCAGCCCGCGTGGCCACTCAGCTCCAAGCGGACATCCTGAGGACACGTAGTGCACCATGGTGGGCTGGATCTTTTTGTAATCCAGGCCAGACAATGTGCCCAGACGTCTCTGCAGCCGGCCACCAGGACCCAAGTCTCAGAAGACACGGCCAGACCACAGGCCCAGGTGATGGTCTCCAACCAGCAAGAGCTTAGGGGAGGAATTAAAGCATGTAAGGAGGCTGGTGGACAGACGAGGGGGTGACGCTCTCTCCATAAGCAGATGATAAGAGCTGATACCAGCAATGGCAAATTCAGAAAATAAAAGCCCTGCTCTGAAGATTTATAGACAGGCCAACACGGAGCTAAGCCAGCAGCAGCTTGAGCTGATGGGAAAGGACATGCTGTCAGCCACGCAAACAGTGCAGCCACTTTCATGGGTCTCAGGGTGACAGGGCTGTGCTCACGGCCCACCCTGACCTTGCACCGGGAACTGAGCCTGGTGCCCCCCAGGGAGGTCGTGCGGCTGACCCTGGCCAGGAGGAGCCATCCTGAAAGACAAGCTCCCTGACTGGACGCAGATGGCCCAGTGAAAGATGAGGCCTGCCAGCCGTGCTGCCTTATCAGCTGCAGAGGCCCAACCAATCGCAGTCCCAGCTAAGGAATCCTGCACGTGCCTGGAGCCTGCGGGTCGAGCTCTGCTGAGCACAAGGGCACTGGGGCCTGGCACCAAGGGGGTGGCTGGGAAGGGCACAGGCACTCCTGGGTGGACAACATGGTGTCCCCCTGTCAGAGACTAGTAACCGCACCCTGGCCTTTGAGCTTAGCTCTGGAGGCCCTGACAGACAAGGCAAATTGGGCCCACGTGCACCCAGCTAGGGTCTGTCAGGAGCCGGCAGAGCAGGTCCTTGGTGAGGAATACGCTTTCTTGGTGGCTGGCGTGTGCTGGATCCACCAGGGCCTCCCGCTGCAGTAACACCAGAGTACTCCCTGGGCTGCCCTTTCTCTTAGAAAGCCACCACGGAGGAACATTCAAGGCCCCACCAAAACCCTCGCCGTCCTCTGAGTCCTGTTTGTTAACATGAACTTGGGGCCAGGTTTCTAACTCATGGAACTTGGGGCGCTGCAGTTGGATCTGGAACACCTCACAGAGGCCTGTGTACACAGGCTTGGACCTGTGGCGTGGCGATGAGGTGGGGCCTGGCGGAGGAAGCGAGGTCGCGGGGGCGTGGCCGTGGACCCACCCCTCCTGTCTCGACTTGCCGCCCTCACTGCAGTCCAGCCCCTCCAGTATGTTTCAGCCATGATGCGCTCTGCCGTCTCGGCTGAGCCCCCATGGACTAGAGCTCTGAAGCCAGGAGCCAAATAATAAGGTGATCATCTCAGGGACTGTCATTAGGCGTGGAGGCTGACACAGGCCAAACATCAGAGCCAAGGCAGCTGCTAAGCAGGTCCAAGCTCATTTCGCCACAGAGCCCCTCACCTTACAGGAACAGACATGGAGGAAGACAGGCAAGATAAAAGGAACTGTCTGGGTACCCGGCATTAGATGCTGCCATGGTCTGTTTTCTGCAGCTATAAGGGAACACCTGAGACCAGGTTGTTTGTGAGGAACACAAACGTACTGGCTCGAGCTCTGATTGTGTTAGACAGAGGGAGGAGAAGGCATCACACAGCGAGAGAGGAGAGAGAGGAGAGACGGAGCTCACCGCCTCAGGCCTCTTGCCCTGGTGAGGGCAGAGCCCTCCCAAGGTCCCAGCTCTTAACACTGCACAGGGGAACACTGCCAGCATGCCTTCCACGGACAACTGGAACCTCAACCGGCAGCCAGGGAGCTGGATGCAGGGCCTGGTAGAGAACGCCATGGCTTGAGATGTATCTACAGTTGTGGGTTCTCAAAACACACAAATGCTTTTCAGGAACAGGGTTAGGAGTTGTTAATGACTTTGTATGAGGGTCTGCAGGATGTAGGCCTGAGCCTGACATTTGATGGGGTCAGGGGTCCCCAAACAGCCCCACCTGGCTGCCTCTCTGAAGCACGTGACCCTGTCCCCTCCCCTCATCTCCTCTGCTCTGCAGGTGGGGTGAGATGTGCTGCAGAGAAGCCAGGTCCCAGGGCCTTCACCAAGCACTGCTGTCCGGGCTCAAGGTCCAGGTAGGGTTTTCAGGGCTCCCAGGAGGGATGACAGTCCTGTTGGGACTCCTCCCCTCCTCTAGCCACCTCATCCTCAGCCCACTGCCCTACCAGGTGGCTCAGGATTCACTAAATGAACACACCCTCATTCTGCACTGTGTGGATATTACTAGACTCCTGGTGGTGGAGTCTTCACCCCACAGCTTCTCTGGGGCTTGGTGGCCCAATTGCAAACAACAGGGCAAGTCTCTCTCACCGTGTCACCTGCCAGAGGCCTTCAAAGGCACCTTCATTCGGAGGTGCCCACAAGGAGGGGGAGCTTCCCAGTCAGCTCTGGGAGGAGGGCTACAGGGACCCCAGATCCCTGCCTGCCACCACCAAGGTCACCCAAGTTCACATCACCAAGAGCCCTGATCAAAGATGACCCTACCCTCCTCCCTTCTGGGGGACAGGTTCCCAGAAGGCCATGCCAGGGAGTGACCAAGCCCACTTCTGACAGCAGTTCTTGTGTTTCCAAAGCCAGGCTGAGGCTCCCTTGCCCAGATGGGCAGGATGCAGAGGTTGGCTGTGGAGGAGCGGGTCTTGTCTGCAGTGCTCGTCCCCACCCATGACCCTTCCCACTATGCACCAGGGCCCCTGTCCCGGGCTAGCTCCTCCAAGGGCACTGGGGGACCCTACAAAGTAGCCTCTGACCTTGAATTTCTCCAAGGCATTTCCCAATGTCCTCCTTCTAGTGCTGCCTGCTAACCTTATGCTGTGTCATTTTTGATTCCTGGTATTTAAAACAAAATAGTGATTGAAAACATATTTTACCAAAAAGCTGTGCTGCTGGACATGGGGAAAGCACATGTTCCCCCCCCCCCCACTGCCATCCGTCTCGGGGCACCTCACAGGACCTCAGCACCCCTTTTCCTCCTAGTCTACTGCTTTTTGCTTTTGGGGCTTGTGGCCATGGGATGGGCCAGGTGCAAGGCTGTGTGAGGTGGACAGAACAGGCTCCGAGGCACAGCAGGACAGAATCATAGCAGGCTGCTCAGAGCAGGCAGGAGCACCCCATGCATCCCCTCAGCCACAGGGGTGCTGCCAATTGAGGATCAGGGCTCAGGGAGCTGCAGGGAGCTGGGGCCTCCCATGCCCCTGCCCTGGAGTCTCCTGGCAGCTGGCTGCCCAGGCCTAGCGACACGGTTCCACCCCAGAGCCCTGGCTACCTTCCCATAGATGAGCCTTGCCACCCCTCAATCACCTGCCAGCAGGCGCTGGCTGGCCAGAAGGCTGCAGGGGCTGACTGAGGTGTAAGGCCAGGTGCTTCAGGGTGCAGGCAGGGGGCTCAGGGCACCTGGGCCGGTGAGAGGAACTGGTGGGGACACATTGCAGCAGGCCCCAGAGCTGCGCAGGAGCAGAGTGCAGCCTCTGTCTGGGTCCCAGGGAGCCTACCAGCACAGACCAGGCACTTTAAAAGCTTTTCTGAGACAGGATCTTACTATTCAGTTAGGCTGGCTTGAACCCACCAGTAGCCCAGGATGGTCTAAACTCACAGTGATCCTCCTGCCTCAGCCTCCCGAGAGCTGGGGCTATAGGTGCACACCACCCGTCATAGGCACTTCACAGAGAACAGAGTATGCAGGTGTGGTCTCTGTGGTGAGACTGGCAGGAAGCCCAGTGTCTGCATGACTTCTCTCCAGCTCAGGTACAAGGACAGGTATGTTGTCACCAGAGCACAGACCTGCAGGTGCCTCCCGCTGCTAGTGGGGTGGGGGTGTGCAGGCAGCTTTCCAGAACTTTCTGAGGAGCTTCTGCTGTGTGCAGTGTTTTCACACACACTGAAGTTCACTACGACCCAGGAACACAGGCCCCTGCGAGGGATCCAAGGTGTGAACCCAGGACACCGAGACTTCGGCTCACGCTCAGCCAGGCAGGCAGAGCTGGGCGCCCATGCAGAGGAAACAGCTCAGTTGCAGAAGTACGCGCACCGGTGGTCCCGGGCGTAGCCAGAGAAAGCTGTCCCTGCCAGACAAAGACCACAGCGGTGACCCCGAGTCACACTCCACGTAAGCAACAATGACCGACAGCCGATGAGGCCCAGCGGCTGGGCTTGGCGCCGCACCTCAGTGTGAAAGGGTCTCAGTGCCATGGTAACGCCAAGAAGGAAACCGGATGTGTTGCACACCCGGGCCACACTAAGTTCATCCAGGTCTGCCCTGGGGGGTGGGGCCTCATGCATCCCAGAGCCTGCCCACGCCCGCTGGCCCGGGGGTCTTGGACCACCCACACCGCCGAGCCCCCTCAGCAGCGAGGTGCGGGAGCACTGCAGCACCCTCCCGAGCTGGCTGGTCAGGGTGTCCCCCAGCGCAGTTCTCACCAGCACCCCGCAGTCTCCGCCCACACGGATGAGGAGCAAGGCTGAGAATCCCAGTAGAATAAACCCTCACTCTCCATGGCTGCCACCACCCCAGCTCTGCAGCTGCACAGAAAGGGACAGGCTCGCCAGCGGCACTGGCTCGGGCGACACTTCGCTCCCTGTGGGGACGAGCGCAGCATGACAGGCCGAGAAGCTGGCCATTTGCTTTTGAAGAGACTTTAATCAGAGCAGAGTGAGAATGCAGGTTACAAGTTAAGTGTCACCAACACGTGTAGACTGCGCCCGACAGGGAAGCCCTAGGGTTTACACACTTCCTAATTTAGTCGTCGAAGAGGAAACCATCATCAGATCTATATTTACACAGTATTTTCAAGCAATGGTAAATAATATACTCCTGCCCTTAAAACCAAAACGACACATGCTCACACGCACACGCACCTGACCACCATTAGATGCCTGCCCACAATCAAGAGTCTTTGCACGTACACGCGTGGACCCGGTCACTTAAATTACTCAGAAAAGGTCTCATCAGCAGGGTCCTGGAGGCCTGATTTTCTTTCAGTCACTTACATTTTTACAACCTGAAAGCACGTGACCAGTGTGGTCTGCACACTCTAAGGGTGCCACAAATGACAAGTGTGTCCCACTTCTTTGTGTGAGGCTTCTGTACATCTCAGGATTGTTTAAGTCAAAAGAAAGAAGGCGAAATGGTATCTCCTCTCCTCAAGCAGCTTCCTCGAACGCCGCGCAGCCGTCAGCCTGCAGACTGCCTTGCAGTAGGTCTTTCGGGTTTGTTTCTGTACAGAGGTACTGGTTCAGCCCCACGCTTTTCCCAGTTCCATGGGACACAGGAGCCCGACACTGCCTGGCAGAGGAGGCCCCCGCACCCCAGGTTAGCAGCCCGCCTGCCCCCAGGAGGCTGGCTGGGACCCACCCACCATGCCTCATGGACTTGTTTCTCACTGTCGCTGTTAATAAATGGAAACCACACAAAGGTACATTAGCAGACACATATGCATGCCCTGGCCTATGAATATCCTGGGATGGGAAGCAGCACAACCACTCCATTCCTAGGGAAGACAAGCTACAAGGAGCAGGGGGACATCATCACACTCGCTCTCACAGCTGAAGAGCCCAGCCAGGTGGTGCTGGGCTTTTCACCACCTGCCAGGCTGCTGCTGCTCCAGGCCTCCGGGGCAACCAAGCAGCTCCTCCTGCAAACTGGTGGGATCCAGTTGCCGGGGGCCTTGGAAGCTGGACACAGGCGGGTTGAATCCAAGTCCTTTGAGAAGCGAGGGAGGAAGGATTCCCAACGCACATGTGGAAGTGGTTCCTGTGCTCCCGCCTGGCCACAGAGCCGTCTGGCTCAGAGCGCCAGCTGCAGCTTGGTCATGTTCCTCTGGTGCATGTTGTGGTGGCGGACAAGCTCATCAGACCGCGCGAACTTCTTCTGACAGCTGGGCCACCGGCAGCTGAAGGGCTTCTCGCCTGCGGGCACAGGTGCTGGTCAGGGACAGGGAGGGTCAGGGACAGCGAGGGCCCGGTGATCGGCACATGCTGCTCTGACCCCTCACCAGCCTGCACCAGACAAGGGCTCTGTCCCTGGGCCACCTGCGAGGTCCTGGGCTGGAACCTCCCACCTCATCCTCTCCGCTTATCTTACTCTACCGCCTCACTTGCCCCTGTCCCAGGAAGGTTCCTGGCGTTCCTCAGAGCCTGGGTCTCCCTAGGGTAGGTTAAGATTATTCAGTGCTTGATCTACGCCAACCCCTGTGAATGCTGGGCTCCCAGGCACACACATGCGTTGTCTGAGCACAGCCACAGAAGGGAGCTATCACCCCTCACTGCAGACCTGGCCTAAGACCACAGCCTCCTCATCCTCCACCCAGCCCTGAAGCCCCCTTGTGCTGCCTGGGGATCTCCTTGGACCCTGTTGTCCTGACCACTGCCTGGGACAAACAGCAACAAATGTGCCTGGACATGGTGCCTGGGTCAGAAGATGGCATCCAACTAACCACTGCTGGTCTGCTAGGGGCTGGGGCATTCGAGGGGCAGCTCCTTTGCCAAATGTCCCAGTTAGGCCAGTTAAGGGTATGGCTCTGGGTGAGCCGCAGGGGCTGAAGTTGCTCACCCAACCCTGCCCTGATCTGACTTCCACTCTTGAGGAACAAATCCCAGCCCTGCTTACCACCCTCAACTCTGCCTGCCCTGGCTGTCCCCTAACTGCTGTCCTTGCTGGGCTGCTGTGAGGACACACGCCCCTTCCCCTAGGGACAACAGGACTGAGCTTCCCACACACTACCTCTGGGGCTTGGGATGTGTCACATGACCAACCCCTGCATGCCAGGGAGTGAAAACCTGCCTCTTCGGTCATGGTGTAAAGATAATGCACAGGGGTAATTGCTGTCACAGCGGCCTGGCTGGGACAGGCAGCAGCCAGGGGTAACCACAGCCACTGTCCCCTGTATACCCACAGAAGGAAGGTGACGTGGCGCTCAGGTGATAAAGCCTGGCCTGCTACAACCCCTGCTTCTTCTGGAAGGTTGGTTATCACCCGACAGACTAGCAAGAGCGGACAGCAGGGCCTGGGGTCATCATTCATTCCCTTCTCACTCTGGATGGACAGACGTCCCATCCCCAGCTGGAAATCTGATTCCTGAGCATTCCGAGGGCCTGCTGACCCCAGCCCTACCACCCTCACGCACGTCCTTCCTAACCTCCATCACGCACATCATCCCACACCCGTTTACCAAAAATAATGAAAAATAAAAGTGAAGAAAAGTTTACGCACTTGTTTTACCTGTATGAGTCCTGGTGTGGGTCTTCAGGTGGTCGGACCGGGAGAACTTTCGCTGACAAGTTTTACACTGGAATGGTTTCACACCTAGACGGACAGAGAAGGTCGGGCCTCGGCCCTAAGGTGCAGCCTGCGGCAGGGCGCTAGGCCGGCTTCCTGGCGGCCAGAGGGTCCTGCCTTCCAGCCACACCGGCATGTCCCTGGCGCCCAGGCCCGGCAGAACCAGTAACTCTGCACGAGACCCTCACGGACCTGCTCTGGCCTCAGCAGAACACCACTGCTTCTCCTTAACCACAACATGCGCGTGAAGCGGCTCCCAGCTGTGGTGGTGGCTGCGACCCTGCTGCTCGGGGCCCACACGCGTGCTGCCCACTGTCACCAGGAGCCCCTGGGACCTGAGAGCACTGGGCTTCCCTGGAGCCGTGGGGGCCACTCCTTCTCTTTCCCTCTTTGTTTTAAGAAAAGGAGATTCTCCAGATTAGGACAGAGACACTGGGAAAGCAAGACAGCCACAGAGCCTCTCATTCCGGTTCCACAGGGGAGAGAAGCGAACAGCACCCTAACCCCGGAAGGCGCCGGCCGGCTGGTCACAAGCAGCCCACAAACCTGTGTGTCTCCTCTGGTGTCTTTTGAGCTGGTCAGAGCGCGAAAACCTCCGCTCACAGTCCTTGAAGTCACATTGGTACGGCTTCTCGCCTTGGGGAAGACACATATTCTCTTTGAAATGATCTTGCTGATGTGGGCTGTGCTCCCCACGGGACAGAAGGGACCCAGGGCCCACACGGGGGGAGGACATGATGCCAGCCTCCGTGAAGGGACAGGCCAAACACACACATTGTGGGCCCTGGGCTGGCAAGGATGGTCCCATCCAGCTCTGCCCTTAGAGCATCGAGAGGGACAGCTTTCTCCTTGTGAAATAAGCCAACATCTGACATCAGCAAGAGACTCAGGGAGGGTGGCATCCATGCTGGCACGGTGCAGTGTCAGCAGGGGACAGCTAGGCAAAGAGTGAAAGAGTCTGCTCATGGGCTCAGCTGCTCATGGGCAGGATTCTGGGGGGTGTCCCTAAGGTGGGCTCCACATGCCAAGACCCAAATCTGGGGTGTCCTCTGCTACTGACTCCTCACTCCTGGTCTGAGCACAGACAGCTGAGACTGCACAATGTGGACTGTGTCCCTCCCTCGCCCCAGAGAAGAGGGCCATGGCTTGAGCAGCCCTGGTGGGGCGGCCCCTTCCTCCACAGAAAGCTTGGCCCTTCCTGGAGCTGAGCCCAAGCGCACTCAGCCACCCTGGGCTTCCCTCCTGCTTCAGAGAAGCCTGAGTCACAGACCCTGGGCAGGCAGCGAGCTCCCCGGGTGCCCCTCTCCCCAGTCATGACCTCCCGATCCATCTGCATGCTGCTCAGTGGCCTCAGAACTCCCAGGTCCTCTGTGCACTTAGCTCACCCTGAACACTCTCGGTCTCTCTTCCTATCAATCCCTCGCAAACACTGCACTTGGGAGCCTCGCAGTCAGATCAAAACCTCCCTTCCGGCCCCAGCCTTTATCGCCAGCTGTCCTGCAGGAGCCGAGCCTATCCCAGCCACCTGGCGCCTGGACTTCCTGGGCTCCAGTTCACACCCAGCCCTGCTCCCTAGGCAGAGGACGTTTGCTGCCATCTGCTACCCACTGGTGCTGCCACTCCCGCCACTGTGGCGACCCTGCTCACCCTTTCTCCTCCACCGCCTCTCCAGCTTCATGCCCCTGAGCCTCGCTGCCCCCAAAGCCTACCAGCCCCTCTCAAGCCCATTCTGTCTGAGTCACAGACATCTCTGCCCCTCCTCTGTGTCCAGCAGGATTAAGAATGCAGGACTCTGGGCCTGGCTTCCCCAATGCCCAGCTGCCTCATTTAATGCCCCTATGTGTAGAATTCAATAAAAGCTCTGTGCAGGGAGGGCTCGGTAACAGCCCTCCATGCAGGAGCCTGCTGGCACTGCAGACACCTGCCCCTGAGGGCAGGCCCCAAGAAACCCCTCCAGAGACAGCTGAGCACAACCCTGGCCCCAGGGCACTTCGAGGCAGCTCCTTGCTGGCTTCTCCAGCCTCTCGACCCCACAGACATCAGCACAACAGAATAATAACTCTCAAGGCCACCCTGTAGCGTGGAGACCAGCCCCAGGGCGCTGGGACCTGGGCATCCCTGGGGAGTCAGCCACATGCCCACCCTGCCCCCAATGGCAAGTGCCTAGCCAGTGGACCTGTTTTCCCTGACATTGTCCCCCTGTCTCTCAAGGGCTGGTGAGGACAATTTAACCATAGGCCCTGTCCATCACCCTCTGCTGGGTCACTGTTCTAGCACTCAGCCTCTCAGCCTGGCTCTGGGAAGCTACCCCATGGCCTTGCCTGCCCTGCACCGTCTCGTCGCCCTTCACAGGCTCCTCTGCAGAAGTGCTAGGAGGTCCCAAGAGAAAAGCACTGCGGCTTTTGCTGACCTGACCAGCTGTGTCTTCAGGGGCGCTGTCACCGCCACATTCCATGCAGAGCAAATGGAACCTGCTGCAGCTCCCACCCACTCTGTTCCTCCTGCCTGCCCTGAAGAAGGGTCCCCCAGCCCCATAGCCCAGGACAGCTGCCCTTCAGCCTTCTGCAGCCTGACCTCATGACCCTGCCTGCTGCCACTGGGACCCGCACTCTCCTCACCTGTATGCTTCCGGCTGTGCATCTGCAGGTGGGACAGCTTGAAGTACCTCTTGTTGCAGCCGGGGTAGGCACACATGAAGGGGCGCTTCTCGCTGCTCTCTGAGGCTGAGCGGACCAGTGTGGGGGCTACGCCAGGCACACGCCGCACGTCCTAGGCAGAGGGGAGAGGATGGAGGCCATCGGCCACCTGTGAGCAGCCCCCCGGGGCAGGAACTTTGCAACGGCCCAAAGCAGGGGCAGGGCACATGGCTGTGAGATCTCAGCCATGCCCTCTGTGCCTGGATGCTGCAAGGGAGGACAGCTGGGACCTTCCTCACTGTTCCTCCAGAATGTCACGGTGGTCAGTGGGGGCCCAGACCGCAGGGAAGCCCCTTGGGCTGCTAGCCCCAGCCTCTGCAAAAGGAATGGTGTTGGAGAGCCCCAGCCACCTGGCACTCCCAACGGGTCCCATCCAGGGACATATCTCACATCCTCCATCCAATGTGCCATGGTGGGATGTCCCTATTAGAAGAAAGCAGGATTGGCTGAACACACCCAAGCTGGCTGGACCCCCACACGTCCACACAGACTCGGATGAAGGAGGCCAGGGCTCCGTCTGTGATGAGATAGCACTGCCTTTAGTGGCAACACCAAAGACATGGGGACATTGTTCCAAGGCGCAGTGGGTCTCTTTCTCGGGTTAAACTGAGTCATGGGGTGCAATATCCCAGGGACCACTAAGCCTCCCTCTTCCATCATAGACACACAAGCTGCGGTCACCGTGTGGGCACAGGAGCAGGCCTGTGACCTGGAGCAGCCTGGCCCCGGGCGGGTCCCACTCTACCAGCCTCCAATTTCATTGTAGTCCACCAGTTCGCTTAATGACGCAGTAGGGCATAGCCGTAGAGTGTACAGCCTGGGGGGAACCCCAGTGCCCAGAGTCAAGGCGGCATGAAGTACCCTGAGCCAGGGGTTGGGCGGGACCCTCAAGAGGCCCCAGCCGTCCAGGGCCCAGAACAGCAGCCTGCTAGGGAGAAGCTTCCCTTCTTGGACGCCATTCGAGTGGTGTGTGGCCTAGACTAGATACAGCACAGGTGCTGGGGGTGGAACCAGTAGGGCTCCCGAGCCCCTCAAGTGGGGCCCTTCTGTGCCTCCACCTTCCCTTCTCACAGCTTGGGACACGAGAGCGAGGCGCCCTGCCTAGGGGCCGGGAGCCCGGTACACAGGCGGGGCACCGGCTCTCAGGACAGGAGCACAGCCATCCCTGGGCCACTGAGCCACACCTGCGAGTGGCTCAGCCTCCATGTGGTCCTGGTGGCCCAGAGAGGCACTGGATGCTCCGGGATTTTCACTTCTCTACCTCACCTTCCTCCCGGCCATGAGCCGCGGTGGACCGAGGGGTCCCTGACGCAACACTGTTCAGGCACGGGCCTCCACCTCATGGCAGGGGCAGCGGAGAAGGCGGGTGTGGCGCTTACCTGGATGCCGCGAAAGACACCGTGCGTGTGGATCCGGTACTGCGCACCGCAGAGGATGGGCGTCGTGTGGCTCTCACTCTCGTACCCCGTGCTGTGGCTGAGAACAGAAGAGGAGGTTCAGCCAGGCCTGCAGCCACCCAGTGCACGTGCGCATCTGCGCTGCCGGAAGCTTAGGGGGTGGAAGGAAGTGGGCGGCTCTACACCCGCCCTGGCTCGGCTGCGGCGCCCCCTGTCTATCACCGGTCGCCTTTCACCGCCCAGGGTTCCCGCGTGCATGGCCCGGCGGCTTGTACTGTGCTTGAGCAAGCTGGGGAGGACCAGGACAGGACTTCAGCCGGTGGGTTGCTCGCCGCCACCGCGAACATCTCAGCAAAGAGGGTCTTGGAGCTTGCGGGGACACACGGACGTCCACCAGTTCTGAGGGACCCAGTTCCTCCCAGGCAGCACCAAAAAAGGAGGACACTCACAAGTAGGGCTGTCCCGTTCTCAGAAGCGGATGGCCTCCGTGGCTGCCTCACAGAACAGCTGGGCTGATCTAAGCCCAGCCCTGGCCTGACTCGGCTGCGGGTGCACAGTGCACCAGGGACCACAGGGGAGATAGGCGGGCCCGCTGCCCGGAAGCAGCCTCGCTCTAGGTGAAGCCCTCTTCCCAGCTGCGGCGCTGTGACTTGCTCCGCACAGCTCTGACTTCCGGCGGAGGCTCCGTGAGGACGTGTCCGCGGGCGGCAACAATTCCAGGCGGAATCGCCCAGGGCGATGATGAAACTGAAGACGCGCAGCTGCGCTGGAAAAGGCTGCCCTGGCGCACCCTCAAAATATCAGACCTAGACTCACCACATGACCAGCAATCCTGCTTCTCCCGGAAGAAACCAAAACAGGTTCACACAGAGCCCTGTTTCTGTGGTTCTTTCATGGGAGGCCTCACGTGAAGGGCCAGGAAACAGATTCAACCTGAGGGGCAACCACTGACCACTGGAAACACAAAATGCAGCATCCAAACACAAGGGAGTATTATTTGGCAGTAAAAAGGAATGAAGCCCCAGCATGCCCAACCTGGAGGGGAGCATAAGCCAGTCACGTGGCCACATATCTAGGGTTCCACTGACACAAACTGTCCAGAAAATGCAAATCGGTAGTAGATGCGTGGTGACCTAGGGTTGAGGGCGCTGGTGGGACGGGACAGGGTCCCTACAACATCCTGAAATCTGTGGCTAGCTGTGCAAAGCCATAAACACACTAAAGCCACTGTCCCATGTGCCCCAGAAGGGAGGACTGGATAGGTGCAGGAAGCCACTGAACCTCCTCTTAAAAAGTCATCTCTGGAGCCAGTCCTGTGGCTGGTGCCTTGGAAGCACTCTGGAAGGCTGAGGCAGGACTGCAAGGTAGAGCCTAGTTGCTCTGAGCAACTTAAGAGACTTAAGGAGACCCTGCCTGAAATGTTCATACAAGTGAAGAATGGGCTGGAGGTGCAGTTTGGAGCAAACGCTCTGGGTTTGGGCTCCAGAACTGCACCACTCACCATTCCTCTCTGGGATGGGGCTCTGCATGCAGCAGCATCTTTTAAAGCCCCCAGGGGAGATGGACTGGCTGTTGGTGCTCAGAACCCCATTCTCTGCCTCAGCCTCTGCAGCAGTTAAACGGATACTGGAGTGGATGGGGATTTGGTGGACTGTGGTGCAGAAATGGGCGGAGGGCTGACTTGGCTCCCCTGGGGGGCAACTCCGTCCTCTCCAGAGGAGAGCAAGGTGCCAGCATGCAGGACCCCTCCTCATCCACACGGCCTGGGGCCACAACAGCTGGAGAAACAGCTTTGCTTCAGTCTGCACCCAGGCATTTCTGAAAGAACAGCCCAGCCTCCGGCAGATTTTGGGATCCAGGTGGTAGGTCTTCACCCCAGGCTGCCATGCCACCCCTCTACATCCCATTCCAAGTGACACTGAGGCTCCAGTGATGCTGATGGAGAGGGGCTCAGGCCTGGACTAGCGTCCAACACGTGGAGAGACTGGGAGATGCAGAGAACAGGGCCTCTCAGCCTTCAGAATGTGCAGGAAGTAAGCTCAGGGAAGTAACAGAGAATGCCACTGCAGTCACCTGGCAGCAGAGAGGACGCGGCCAGCACGGGGCATTCAGGACTCTGTACCCCAAGGCCTGAGAGAAGAGCTCCTCTTGCCTGGTCCCCAGAGACAGAGGCTGGCACTGGCCATGGTCTAAAGGTGAAGCATCCCCCGAGGAGTCAGATGGTTCACTGGTGGGGCCTGGAGAGGGCCCAGGGGTAGGAGGCCGCTGACTTGTTGCTAGGGTTTAAGATCTAGATGACCCCAAGGCCTCGCAGGTCCTAGACAGGACCTCTGCAGCTGACTGCCTTGCAGGCGTTCATAGCTGACCTGCGGTTAGGAGGGGGAGCCTGCTCAGAGGAGGTGGGCACTGCAGGGATGGCCTGGGCGTTTTGAGGCTCCGCTCTTCTTTTTGTCCTTCCTAGCTGCCATGACATAAACAGCTCTCCTCTACCCAGGCACTTCCATCACCACCACAGCTGCCCTGGAGCTGCTAACCAGGGACTGAGCTCTCAAAACCACAAGCCAAATCAACCCATCTTCTTGTGAGCTGCAGGTGCCAGGTATTCTGCTCCAGTGATGAGAAGGGGATAAACCTGCTTGCAGAGTTCACAGCAGAAGGGACTCCTAGGAAGCGAAACCCAAGGAAGGAGGCAGGCCGCAGGACAGCCCTTGGGGGCTACATCTTATCTCTGGCCTCTTCCCCAGTTGCCCGCTTCCCTCTAACCCCACTTCCACCTTGAGGTTTCTGGTTCTCCACGGCCTATAGTGGTGGAGCTGGCAGACCATGGACTGATGACAGTGTGAGCTTGAGCACGCCTTTCTCCTCCAAGCTGTGACCCTTAAGTATTTGGCCTCAGCACTGGAGAACGAATGCAGTCATCTATGCCCACCCCACTCCAAGCAGGAACCTCTTCCAGCTCATGCCCAGCAGCAGGCCAGCAGGACGAGGACCCTGTTTCCATTTGGGAAGAGGTCTGTTAGCAAAGGCCCTTCCAAGCTTGGCTGAAATCAGCCTGCTTCTGCCTCCTGGGGAGCACAGACCAGGTCACGGCCACAGCCGACTCCACCTGGCGTCTCCTCTGCTCCATGGGAAACACGACCTTGAACACAGAGACCACCTGCCACTCTTGGCATCCACCCGCTGCTGTTCCTTCCCAGGTCTAAGATCCATCTTGGGGATCAGGGGTGTTTTCTCTCAGCTATGACAAGGTGAACTGGCACCTGATTCCTTTGTCAGCCCAGTGTCTTCTTCTTGACCCCCTCATCGCTCTCAAAGAATGGACACTTGTCGTGTAGATGTGCCACAAAGAGGGGTTGGAAGAGGCCATCTACACCCACAGAAGCCTCAGGAAGACAGTGTCTGCCCCACAGGAGGGTGCCTGCCCAGAGCCACCCACGCCCATGTCCACGAGCCCTCGCGCAGCACACACCTGGCCACACACCTCTTCCCCCAGATGGAAGGTGTGGCCTCTTGTGCAGTGTGGACAGAATGCCAGAATTAGCACGCCCTGTGCAGTCATGCCTGGGCACTGCACCCCAGGGGCCTTCCTCATCAGATTAAATCTCTCCCCAGCCTAGGCCTTGCACAAGCTATGGCAGGTGTCTGGCCCTGACCCTAAAGACCCAGTTGCTTAAAATCAGAATTCAGGCCCACAGAGCCTGTCTTGAGATCCCACCCTGTGGCCTTTGGTGAGTTGTCCCTGACAGCTGGAACATGTTCTGCTGGAGACCTGCTTCCTACACACATGCCTTCCACCCGCCTCATGCCACCTCTGTAACCGCAAAGCCCCTTCTCTGAGTTCCAGAAAGGCAAATGGTCTTCCTTGCTGCCCGTGGGATCCATTTTATTGACAAGGTGAGAGAAATAGGTTTCTGTGGCACTCAAGAAGGAACAGGAGTCCGGATCTCCACAAGTACCCTGGAGAAACCGTCCTAGAGAATTCAGGCCCGTGTGGGACCTGGTCAGCCATGACACACGTCAGTGACCGTGACGAGCTGGCCTGAGACAGAAAGGCTCAAGAAAGTGATGGCAGCTGCTGGAGACAGCAGTGTCGGGACCCGCTGCAGCTCAGATGGTCACAGGAAGCCAAGCCTCAGCTGAGAGACGCATCCCAAAAAATGCACAGGCCCTGGATAGGAGGCCGGAGCCATCAGTGCTCCTGACACAGCAAGGTGCTACCAGCAAGTAGACACTGTTCTAGGGCCCAAGATGCACTCTGCTGACAAGAGAATTCACACAGCCCTGACAGCTTGGAAGAGCTCAGAACAGCCCAGGATGTGCAGTTCACAGAGTATCACCAGAAAGCAGGCTCTGGAGCAGTGTGACCCCACCAGACCAACCAAGCACCCCAGCCCGGCTCGGGTGGAGCTGCAGGCGTAGCTTCAGCCACCTCCCACCCAGGTCCGAGGAGGAACACACAGAGGCCAAGGCCTAGCCCGGCACCCTGCGCCTTCCTAGGGTGGGAAGCCAGTACTTTATAAACTGTTTCCATGCAGCTGCCTTGTAAACTTCCTCCTTTTGAACATCAAGATATTGATTAGGCTGGATGACAAGGAGAGGGGACTGGAAACTTCAGGGCCCGAGATAACCAGGAAGGCTTGAGGCTATTTCAGACGGGGCCAGGGTACTGCTCCTCCACTGTCCACTGCAGCGCTCAACCTGCTGACCCCACCTGTCACACAACCACTGATGCCTTCTGCAACCAATTCCGGGCTATCGACTTCTGCTCTGGACCTGGTGACCCTACCACCCAGGGCCATGGGCTTGAGGCGCACCAACAGCTCCATGGGTTTTCTTCCCTTGGCCCCCAGGCCTGGCCTAACAATTTCCCAAGAACTCATGCTAACCCACAGCTCCGTGCTGTCCAAAATCCACTGGGGTTTCTGCTCCTTGAAAACTCAAGATACTCACCTGTCTCAGCTCTGCCATCACCTCTCTCATTTTCCATGAATTCCTGGAGTACTGGACAAGGAGGAAATTATTCCACCACAGAATAGAGATTCCATTCTTTTCTTATTTAAAGCACAGCCACAAATTCAA